CATTTCACTCACCGAGAACGATACAGAACATGTCTTGCTCCCACAAGACAAGCGTCGTCTCAGGATGGGAAGACAGATACAGAGAGCACAACACCATGCGAGAAGATTACTGCACCGAAAAAATCTTGATCGATCGATCGATATATGGGGTTTAACGTCCCAAAACCACTCTATGATTATGAGAGACGCCGTAGTGGAGGGCTCCGGAAATTTAGACCACCTGGGGTTCTTTAACGTGCACCCAAATCTGAGCACACGGGCCTACAACATTTCCGCCTCCATCGGAAATGCAGCCGCCGCAGCCGGGATTCGAACCCGCACCCTGCGGGTCAGCAGCCGAGTACCTTAGCCACTAGACCACCGCGGCGGGGCGAAAAAATCTTGAATCTCTATCTACGTTAGCATATAGCACAGCACACATTATTAGGACGAAAGCGATGTGCATCTTCCCTTGTTTCAAGAAGGCAGTTCGATCCCTTGAATAAACCTTCGTGAGTGATTTCAGGCAAAAAAAGCACGAAGTTGGAGCTAGATGCATTGTAGTCATATGTGTTGTGGTTTTTGGGACTTACTGAAACATACTGTCCAACTACACAGCCCTCATAGATGGAACACATTTGATGCTGACCTTCATAACGTTTGGCATCAGTCCCATACGTCAGCTTTATACAGCGACACCAAAAATACAAGAAATGGATTGATTGAGAAAATCATAATATGTGTGACAAATTATTAGTTGAAGCTACGGAATCAATGCAGAAGAATGCGAACCCCACCGAGGGTGGTTGTTCATTGCGACAATAAAATATTTTGCACGCATGCAATGGAATCTTCTCGCACAGTCCAGTCTCAGTCGGAAATCTTGGAGAAAGGTCTTCATTTTATGTTGGTCATAAAAGAAAGGCTATATTATATGCCGATGAATGAACACAAATATAATTTAAAACAGCCCTATTTGAAACAATACTGAGGGAACAAAACGAAAAAGAGCGCGATTTGAACCGAAGTCGAACACCAATGACACTGCGCCACGAAATCTACGTGGTAGGGCTGTCTAACAACCACCGCAGACAGCGACACGGTTTTCTTACAGCGTGACCTTGAAACAAAGAAAAAGTTAAAAAGACCTGCGTCACGACCGCTTCCCGAACGGCGCATCGAGCCATTACGCCTGGAAAACAGCTAGACAGCGGCGTCTAAAATAACTAAAATAACGGTAGTTATTTTTAGTTATTTAAAAATTATTTTTAGTTGTTTAAAAATATAGTCATTGCTTTACGATGAAGGGGTCGTCACTATAGCTGTATCACTATTACGACGGGCTCCGTCACTGTTGCTTCACTACAATGACGGGCACGCTCACTTTAACGATAGTATGGCGCTGACAGGCCCCGTCACTGTAGTCACGATTGCAATACGCTGACAGTACTCTGATTGTACTGAATTGACGGGCCCCGTCACCTTAGTCACTGCCCAATTTATTAGCATAAGTTTACCAATATTATTGGCTATGTTAGCTTTTTTGTGCTAATATTTGGCTATATTGACCACGTTTTTGTGGTTCTATGCTAGAGTGTGTCACTTCCAGCTAGTTGCGGCTGCAGGCTAGCGTTGGGTAATATGAGGTCATGGTGGCTTGCTAATATAGGTTTATGCTTGCAAATACTAGTAGATGCTGGTGAAACGTGTTTGTTTCGCCCTATGTTGGCTGTAACCAGGCAGGTTACTGGAACGTTAGACTAGCATGAATGTGCCATTCGTATGCTACCAACGCTCCGCCACACAAAATTGCATGAAGGAACGTTTTTTTTATTATAAGCATATCAGTTGGCCTCTTTTAAGGAAAGTAGAACGGTGCACTACAAACAGCGACATGACAAATGCACACAAACACGCATCATATACGCGTGTGTACCTTCCCTGTTCGCAATTTCTTGTACCCTTCTTCCCTGTTTATAAATAGCCTGCCAACGTGGCCTAGTATTTATTTGGGGATGTGTTAGCCGGAGCAATGTTTTTCTGTTATGCAAATAAAATGTGAGTTCACATAGAGCAGTGGTGCGCCATGTAATGTGGGAGTACATGTGCCAGCAACAACAGCCCTGTAACCACCAGCATAAGCGTACGTTTTTAACAGGGAACAAGACAAACTTTCAGGAATCATTGAACTCGTTTCAGCTATCGCTTTGGCTGCGAGGCTCGTGGAAGCCACTAGAGGCCTACACCGGCACTGCGTTCGCTAGCAGGAGGCCTTCAAAATCTCAAAGCTGAACGTCTTGCATGGGCCGCCCAATGTTATCTCGCATATGAGTAGTGTCGTTACGCGGATTCTTAGGCCATTCTTTATGCGCCAGGGTGTAGTGCAGGTGTGTGTCATTGGCCCTCGCCATGATCACAACTGCTCTGTTTCTACAACATCGTCGATATGCTACTTAATGTTTGTGATATGCACAACATTGTGCCAGAGCCACTCAACTTTGTATTCATATGATTCTGTATTGTAAATTTCCGTGGTGGTTTCAATTCATTACGTTGTCTGTCACGAAAAGTTGTCTGTGAAAATATAAATACTCTATATCAAGAGCTTTTTCGTTGGTATCAGTGCATACACTTTGATCATACAGCGGTCTTCACGAATTTCTCGGTGACTGCTCCTCTTGTCGTTGCCGGCACCTATAAGTTTGAAACATCGATACGAATGATCTAATTTGCGCCAGTCTTTTACTAACAGAGCTTTCGTTTTGCATTGCAAAATTTTATTACGATAGCAATTACATGGACACTCTCAACTGGATTTTGCCACCGCCGTCGTCGGCATCAATGTACATGACCGCCGTCATTCGTCGTATATGTATACGTATCTATATAAAAGAAAACGCAAGAAACTTTATCCAGAAAAAAGACTCTGCCTCGTGGAATAGAATGTCCGACCACTTACTTGTGAGTGCGTGGATTTCACCACTGAGTCACGACAGAGCGGCACCTTCTACGCTGAAAAGGCAAGCTATTCATATTTACACTTACCACTGTTGATATCAATCTAGGGAGAAATATTGTTTGTAGTATGCATTACCAGCGACATGGCACAATGAGCGCGTTTCGCCAAATCGTCATGACGCACTTACGCACGCTGATCTGTTTATCTCCCTCGCGTACTTGGCTCCGCGGAGGGGGGTGTGCTAGAGGCTCACGCACGCGCGTGCATATCTCACGGTGGGGTGAACCGCACGGCTTTGGCTTTTACAGGAGGAATTATGTTGCTGTTACCCGGGCGCACAACTGTCAGTGCACCCTCTCTACAGTCTCCATATGCGAAAAGAGTACGCTTTTGAGACTCAGCGAAAAAATAACTAAGAGATTTATTCACGTTCATCTGAACCTGTGAGTACGTTTTGGCGTGATTTGTGCGTGAGCAACGCAGCGCAAATTTCGGTCTGCTTGACATTCTTCGCGTGACCAAGTTGTTGCTATCGCATTCATTGCCTCGTCTTTGTGGCAAAGCTGTGACTTTTTTATTATCCTGTACTTTGAAAAGTTCGGGTCACCGTTATTGCGAAAAAAAGCAGTCTGCTGATTGTTTCATGTACAATCAATCTGTGCATCATACTTTCTAAGGCGAGAGCTGAAATCTTCCTGGAAGCAACACACGTGAATAATGACCAATATAATGGCGTTTCAACATTCGAAATTGAATGACAAACCGAATTACGTTCTATTTGAAGCAGTGCTCGTGTAAATAGCGCAAATTTGAAATACCGAATATTTTCGTCAAGTTTTTATGACACCAAAATGCTTGCTTTATTCGTAAAACGTGAACGGGGCTTCGATATGCGTCATTGCAATGTTTAACCAAAATAGTGAAGACGTAGCCAGGTGCTCTTACCTCAGAAGAGGATTCACACTTGCTTCAAATTGTGATAAATAAAATCTTATGTCCGCAACAAACCTCTGCACGCATACAGGACAATATAACAATACAAACATCTCGAGGCTTTGATTTTGCTGTCGGGTTTTTTTTTTTACTGTTTCATATGCAGTGTGCAGATTCATCGAATACTTATAGCCTTCTTCGAACTGTTTTTGTAGGAACTAGTTCGGAACGTTGTACTAGACTCATTCGTTATGCACTACTTAGGGCAGATCGTCATGAGCATTGTAATAACGCTGTATATGAATATTTGGGTTTTTATTTTTGTTTCATTGAAAAGCTTTATTTCGTGAAAATGAAATTTATTAATCAATAATCAAGGCGACTGCACTTTAGGGGAAAGTGAGAATTTACTACTGACAAAATGGCCCGGTATCCTCCATACAATTTTTACCAGCGGCTTATGTCACCTAATACATCACATATTCTTTGGAGTTCGGTTTATATAGCCTGCTGTCACCGTTATTCAAGGGTGAATTGTGTATTTCAGTCTTATAGATTACATCACATGCCGGCTTAAAGTCCTTCCAAAGAAAGCCTTAGTCATACCAAATAATCAATAGAGCGAATTGTTCGACAGAAGCGAAAACTTAATTGTGCTTCAGTCGGGTCGATTCTTCTTCAGGACTGTAGATGTTAGATGTGATGAGTACGCTTATAGAACAACTGGTCTTTCCGAGCAAAGTGCGCAATATTCAGAACTGCGCGCTTCGTTTTTTTTAACATCTGTTTACTGCCTCCAAAAGTAATTCAGCTTTTTTTACAGCAAAAGCTGTGTATAGCTAGGAAAAAAAACATTGGTCGAAAATATACAACCAACTACAAAGGCTGCGCCGTTAACTAGTTTTCTGCAGCGCACGCAAGCGCTCGCGTCGATAATAGAGCCGTTAGTGGCGCTATTCTTTGTGTCTTACCCAAGCACACGTGCCATTTAGAAGTACTTGTTGCTGGGCTAGTTCGTTCGTCATACATAAGGAAACACGTGCAAATACCTACCCTGTCAGTGAGGTCGTCCGTTTCTTCACAGACGTGCTGCTATTGTTAGAATTTGTAATACGATGCAGTGACTCACCTTATCCGCAGTCACATAGGTGTAACGGCTGTAAACTTGCCGACAGTATGTTGTCCGGCTTGAGACCTCTCCAGGAAACTTGCTGGAGTGTATGCTTGTTGTTACAGAATTCTTCAAGATAAGGCATTCGTATCTAGGGCGACTGAAAAAAATGTTATGTATATCAATGTGTGAAATTTTCACGTTCAAAAGCTTACTTGTAGACATTGAGGACCTCTCGTTGGCAACATGGAGAAAACTTGTACATGTTTGGTGCTCTGAACTCATAACTCATCATATAGCTGTCTTAGATGGGCAATCAGCTGAGCTATATGTCCTTCAGGCCATGAATCAGCACCCTGTCCATCGTGTACACATCCAAGGCTGCAAATAGGAAGGCGAAGAGTATATACTTCTATTAGGATGAATGTGCACAATAAGCAAAATTAAATATTCATTGTTTCTAAGTGTTTTGCGAAATCTAGTTCACTGGAAAACCTTTTGTTCACTGGAAAATATTCACTGGAAAACCTTTTGCGCATTTTTACAGATTTGTCCTTCTAAACTATTTCGGCCTATGTCATTTATACTTAAATTAGCACAGTGCTCGTTTTTCTCTGACGTGCTGTCATATTCTACCGGCTAACTGTTTTTTTTAATTGATTGATTGATATGTGGGGTTTAACGTCCCAAAACCACTATATGATTATGAGAGACGCCGTAGTGGAGGGCTCCGGAAATTTAGACTACCTGGGGTTCTTTAACGTGCACCCAAATCTGAGCACACGGGCCTACAACATTCCGCCTCACTGTTTTTTTTCAAGCAGGATAACGCATGTACCGGCAAGTATTTTAGCATAAGAATTGAAAAAAAACTGTTTTTTTTAATTCTTATGCTGAAATACTTGCCGGTACATGCGTTATCCTGCTTGAAAAAAAAAAGTTCTTGAAAGCTGACAGTATTTCAGTGCATACTAATGCTCAATATACCTGTTCCTTCCACGAGAAGGCTCGATAGTATAATAGCAAAAAAAAAAAAACAGGCTTTAGCAGTGGCTTTATTTGAAATTGAAAATCAGTCGCATTAAAACATTCTACAGGTCACTGAAGATTCGCTTACAAAGGTGAAAGCATAGCGTAATCGGCTCATGGCGCATCGAGGGTACTACAAGAATGAAGGACATTCAGGCATAACACTGGCCTTTCAATTCATGTTAAAATAGCAAAGTACATTTGGCGAATGCCCACTACGATATATCGTCTCTTTACAAACTGGCCAGTTGTTCACTCCGCGTTCATAAGAATCTAGAAAACCTGTGAATCTGTAAAATTTTATGCAGCTTCGAACCAACTACTCGTTGCGCCATTCGCAAGTTTTAATGCCCCCAGCAGTTCTGATCTGCTACGGAATTTCGCACGATTCAAGAATCTTTTCCTTCATCGTTACATTGTAAGAGCAATTTATAACAAGCGCAGTTATTGAATTGCCACGGCTCCGTTATAAAACTCCTGCTTACCACGCAGAAGGCCTGTGCAATTCATGCGCACTAGGCTCTAATGTTTTTACAATCGATTTATTTATAGGTATCGCAAATTTTCTCTCATTGATAACATTGAAATTTTACTCACAAACGATGGCGGTGCCACCGATGCCAGAACTATGACTTCCGTGATACAAGCTCTTTAGTGTTATCGCGTTTATTGGCCTTGCAACATCGCCAACCAGCAGCCTTTTTTAAGATTGCAGCATCTATTTATATTGCCATCTAATCAACGAATGATACAAAAAACTTTAGGTCTGCGCATAACGCACAGCACAGTCACAGCGAAAGCTACAGGAGCAGCTTCTCAGAGCCTTTTCTAAACACTCTTTGGATAACTGCTAAAGCACGCGGGTGGGTACCCACTAAATTCAAAATAGTCATAATGGTTGTGTAAAATCAGCTAGCATTAACTATGCTATACTTCGTCATTCTTCGAAGAAACGTGATTTTTCCTACACACTTGCTGAGAAATTTTTGTGCACTTTTTTGTCCAGTAGCTGACGACGATGATTGTGCCAGTAATGTGTAGGCGCCTCTGTTAATAGGAGATTAGGAACAAGTTTTTTAATTGCTTGGAGCATTGTATTGCCCACTCCTTATGTTATTCGCATTGTGTGACGCGTAGTCATGCCTTTTATCTTCGATTGACATGTGAGGTTTAACGTCCCAAAACCACCATATGATTATGAGAGAAGCCGTAGTGGAGGGCTCCGGAAACTTCGACCACCTGGGGGTCTGTAACGTGCACCCAAAGCTGAGCACACGGGCCTACAACATTTCCGCCTCCATCGGAAATGCAGCCGCCGTAGCCGCCGCAGCAGAGATACGAACCCGCGACCTGCAGGTCAGCAGCCCAGTACCTTAGCCACTTGACCACCGCGGCGGGGCATGCCTTTATGTTCTAAAACGCTTTATTACTTAGCAAATAAATCGACATCTGGGCTGCCTTAATATATACTTATATATATATTATATATATATATATATCTATATATATTAATATATATATATATAATTATATATAAATATTGTCAAGACGTTTCAGCCGGCACACAGCGAGCATACAAAATGGCGACTGTAACGGCCAAGCACGGGCTCTCAGCGCGAGGTACATCCTTTTTGGGTACACCCACTAGAAGGCTACTGAGAGTTCGACAATTTTCAGTGTTCGCAAGCTTTTCTACAATTACCCCGGGTTGAAGAGGGAGCCGCCTGGCGACCTAACAGCTTGTCACTATGAGCGGGTCATAGTAAGCCTTCAGGCGCTCCACGGTGACTATGCCGCGCCCGTGACGGCGCATGTCTGAAGATTGTTAAATTGGTTCGATCAGATAGTTGAACGGAGATGTGCGCTCGATGATATGGTAGGGGCCTTCGTATTTCGGAAGTAGTTTGAAAGAAAGGCCAGCTACAGAGGTCGGGACTGAGAGCCATACAAGAGAACCTTGAAGGAACGTGGGCTCAGAAGTGGCGAAGCCGTCACGAATACTCTTTTGCAGCTCTTGCTCATGCGTCGTAAAATTTTGGAAAGCTCTCGACACTCTTCAGCAAGCGTGGCTGTCTCAGAAATTGTTGCATACTCAGATGGATCCGGTGTGTACAGGAGTATCGTGTCCATGGTGTGTGACGGGTGCCTTCCGTACAGCAAGAAGAAAGGTGACAACGCGGTTGTACTCTGAGGGGCGGTGTTGTAGGCGTGTGTGCATAGGTCAGTATAGTATTCCAATTCGTGTGGCTGGCGGCGACTCACATTGTCTCTCATGATCATATGGTGGTTTTGGGACGTTAAACCCCACATATCAATCAATCAATCAATCAATCAATCAATCAATCAAACGGCGACTCACATCGAAAGCATGTCACTGAGGGTGTGGTTAAAGCGTTCAGTGAGACCATTCGTCTACGGGTGGTAAGCAGTAGATTTGCGGTGGACAGAATGGCACTCCGTGAGAATGGATTCGACGACTTCTGACAAAGACACGGCCTCGATCACTGAGAAGCTCCTGAGGTGGACCATGGCGCAGTATGAATCGATGCAGTAGGAAGGACGCAACATCACGCGAAGTAGCCGCAGGGATAGCAGCGGTTTCGGCGTATCGCGTTAAATGATCAACGGCGACGATGGCCCAGCGGTTACCAGCCGACGTCAGAGGAAGTGGTCGATACAAATCGATACCTATGTGCCCAAACAGACGCCCAGGGCAAGGTAACGGTTGCAGACTGGCTGCCGACATGTGTGCTGACGGTTTGCGGCGTTGGCAAGCGAGGCAGGAGCGAGCGAACTGCTGCACGTAGTGGTACATTACGCGCCAGAAGTAGTGTTGTCAAATGCGATGGTAGGTTTTGAATACCCAGAGTGCGCGCATTGCGGATCAGAATGGAAGGATTCACATATCTCCGACCACAGACTGCGGGGTATCACGAGTAACCACTGCCTGACATCGGCGTCGTAATTGCGTCGGTGTAGGAGGCCATCACGAGTGGCGAAATGGTGAGCTCGACGACGCAAGGCACGCGTGGTTGGCGTTGCGGACAGATCAGAGAGCAAGTCGATCAGTTGGGCGATCCAATTATCCTTTCGCTGTTCGGTAGCGATGATGTCAACATCAATGGCAGAAACAGCAACCGAGGATACTGAGCAGAGCACGTCAGCTTCAGGCAGAGGGGAGCGCTAAAAGGCGTCGGCGTCAGCATGCTGGCGTCCGTTGCGGTAGAGCACGCGGATGTCGTAGTCTTGTAAGCGAAGAGCCCAATGGGTGAGGCGGCCTGAGGGATCCTTCAATGATGACAGCCATAGTGCATAATGGTCGGTGACGACATCGAATGGGCGACCATACGAATAAGGTCGAAACTTTGTAAGAGCCCAGACGATCGCCAGGCACTCTTTTTCCGTGACGGTGTAGTTTTGTCTCAGCTCTCGTGAGCGTACGGCTTGCATATGCCACAACATAATCAGGGAACACGGGTTTGCGTTGCGCCAGGACAGCGCCGAGGCCTACACCACTGGCGTCCGTGTGCACCTCTGTTGGGGCCGTAGGGTCGTAGTGGCGTAGATTGGAGGAGACGTCAACAAATGGCGGAGCTTCAAGAACGCGTTGTCACACTCTGACGACCACGAATTGAGGGGCCCGTTACTTCCAAGGAGCATCGTCAGCGTGATCGTGGCAAAGTTTCGTATGAAGCGTCGGAAATATGAGAACAGGCCCCCGAAACTACGCAGTTCTTCGACAAACGCAGGTTTTGGGAATTCGGTCATTGCCCGAAGCTTGGGTGGGTCAGGAGGAAGGCCATCCTTGGACACGACGTACCCTTCGATGGTGAGTTGGCGTGCTGCAAAGCGGCACTTCTTCAGATTTGTTGCAAGCCGGCATTGCTCACACGAGCGAAAACTTCTTTAGACGCTGGAGATGCGTGGAGAAATCGGAGCGAAGACAACAACGTCATCGAGGTAACACAACCACGTGTGCCATTTCAAGTTGCGCAGAACGGTGTCCATCATGCGCTGAAATGTCGCAGGTGCATTACACAGACCAAACGGCATGACGTTGAATTCGTACAAGCCATCGGTGGATGAAGGCAGTCTTTGGTCGGCGTCATCACCATTGGTACTTGCCAGTACCCCGAGCGCCGATCGAGAGAAAAAATTCGGCTCCGTGAAGGCTGTCCATTGCGTCATCGATGCGCGGCAGTAGGTAAACATCTTTGCGAGTGATCTTATTGAGCCGTCTGTAGTCCACACACAACCTAACAGAACCATCT